TGAAGGGTGGCGAGTATAGTGCAGTGGCGACAGTGTGCTGAAGTGTGGCGAGTATAGTGCAGTGGCGACAGTGTGTTGAAGGGTGGCGAGTATAGTGCAGTGGCGACTTGTGTGTTGAAGGGTGGCTAGTATAGTGCTGTGGCGACAGTGTGTTGAAGGGTGGCGAGTATAGTGCAGTGGCGACAGTGTGCTGAAGGGTGGCGAGTATAGTGCAGTGGCGACTTGTTAGTTGACAAATTATGCTAATTTGTCGCTGGTTTTTAATCTCGTCGAGCTGAAGGTTAGGCAGCAACATAATCAAGGCCTGCAGCTGAGCTCGCTGCTGGGCGACGATATTTGTTTAATATTGATTTATTTTAATTCTTTCTAGATATTCTGGGAACCTGGATTACCTTGTCACAGTAATGTTCTCATTAAAGGTAAAGCATCGTCCCAAAGACTATAGTTGTAATGATGGCTATTTATAATAATAGTTTTCATTATTTTCGATATTAATAATTATAATATTAAATTATCATTTTATTATAATAAACTATCGAAGATAATGGTCAATAATTTTAGCGCATGGTAATTTTAAACTTGTCAGTTTTTTAACTCTTAATTTTATCTTTAACAAGAAACATCCGACCACTAAGCTGCAATTTCAAAGGTTTATCAGAAAACCATGTAAGGAAATATCATGGATAGAAGAAAAACTCAATTTTATAATAACATAAAGAATATGTTGTGAACATTTTTAATTTTTCTAATGAAAAAAATGCTATGCTGCTTCGGCCGACGCGTCTCTGGTTAGGCCGACGCCCTTGAAGGCAAAACCAAAAATTGCGTGTCTTCGACCACCTCAACCAATCTACACTCGGAGAAATAAGCGATATTTTGTCCAAATGAGACTCCCGTGCCCCCCTCCCCCTCATCCGTGCCCCTCCACGTGGCATCACCCCCCCCCCTCCCCCCGTGCAGAACAGGGCCAGTTTTTCTGGTCGCGGGCCCACATTCTTGTGAGGAACCCGCACGGTGGGGAGAACCCGACAATAGGAGAGCAATTTTAGCGACAATTGCTGCTGTAGTGCAGGTGCAACTGTTCACGAATGCTTAATGAGACTTATAACCCCTGCAAATGTATGGGAAACCTTCAACACTATACAGGGAAGCCATTAACCCAACAAATATACAAGAAAACCTTTACCCTACAAATAAACAGGAAAGCCATTAACCCTACGAAGATACAGGAAAGACATTAACCCTACGAATATACAAGAAAACCTTTAACCCTACAAATATATAGGAAAACCATTAAACCTTCAAATGTATAGGAAGACCTTTACTCGCACGCATGCTATAGGTCGCAATGTTCGTGCTGAGATGTGCGTTATTATAAGGGCTGAGGTGTGCGTTATTATAAGGGCTGAGGTGTGCGTTATTATAAGGGCTGAGGTGAGCGTTATTATAAGGGCTGAGATGTGCGTTATTATAAGGGCTGAGATGTGCGTTATTATAAGGGCTGAGTGTGCGTTATTATAAGGGCTGAGATGTGCGTTATTATAAGGGCTGAGGTGTGCGTTATTATAAGGGCTGAGATGTGCGTTATTATAAGGGCTGAGGTGTGCGTTATATCAAGAAAAACTGTCAGTACTTCTATTTGTGTGGCATGATAAACAAAGCTAAGATGTTGAATGTATTTTTTCAATCAATCAGAAGTAACGTTACAAAAATTATCAGGAGGATATGGAAGAAAGCCAATAAAGTTTAACTCTTGGCAATGAGGTTAAGTTGTAAGGATATGACCTGGTCCAGATATGACACCTAAATTGATAGCAATGTAATTAAGTATCGCTAAAATATATCATTTAGTAGTTATATCAAGTATAGTAAAAACGTACAAAGCTCTCAGTATTGCAAGCTTCTCACCAGCTCGGTGTGGCAGAACTGGACCGACAACTTTATTCATAAGAACACTTTTGGTCTTACAAAGATTCTGCCTTATTTATTTTATTCAAGATTTATTAAAAGACCAAAGGTTCACTCATAGACCAATTTTTGGTACCTCTAGATTAACAATCTGGGTAATTATTCTTGTGTGTAATAGTCCTAATTGTACACAAATAGTCTCAATTAGTTAATTGAAATTATGAACACTTGTTACGTAACACCACAGTTACGTAAGTAACGTCTGTTACGTAATTTGTTAAAAGTATTACGAATATTGAAAGTAACAAAACATTAAAGTTACTGAGCACGCGAAGTAGCGATTATTAAGTATTAGACTTGCGTTATATATAGTTAATATTGAGAATGTTATTTAGCCCAAAATGCAATGATCAACTTAGGTAAAAATAACAAGATGAATTTTAATCAAAATAGCATCGTTAATGTGAGCCGAAAACAAGGTTTATTCGTCATAGATTTGCAAAGGATTGGAAGAAAGTGAGTGAAATATTATTGGAAAGGGATGTTAAAATTGGAAGAAAGGGGAGGGAAAGATTGTAAAAAGGAGGGAAAGATGAGAGGAAAGTGCGTGAAAGGATTGGAGGAAAGGGATGTTAAAATTGGAAGAAAGGGGAGGGAAGGATTAGAGGAAAGTGAGGGAAGTGTAGAATCGAAAATATAAATTTAGTTTTGCCGTTGCTTTCTTTCCACTTAAGAGGCGCAATATAGTTTTTTGTATTCTGGAACGGGAGTCAAATAAGAGTTCTATATGTAAGTTAATTGTGGGTTTGAAATGGACTTTCATCACATTTGTTAATTATTTTATCATTGATGAGATTTAGAATGCCGGATGCGTGAAAAAAGAAATATAAATATTAAAAAGATCTACATGGGCCAACTTGCGAGTAATTTTTCACAGCATGCGCTGTGAAAAACAGCATGAATGAGACATGAATAACAGCGTGATAAGCGGCATGAAAAACGTGAGAATCAATGCATAAATAACTGCATCGAGAGTGTAGGTATGGATAATAGCATGAAAGTGCCATGAATAATAGGGTGAATGGATCATGAATAACATCATAAATACCTGCATGAATAGAAACGTGAATGAATTAAAAATGAATGCTTTAATAAGAGCGTTAATCGCATCGTGAATAATTAACTGATTGAATGCATTAATAACAGCGCGAATACATTAATAACGGCGTAAATGCATTATTACGGCGTGAATGGTGCATGAATTACAGCATGAATAGCATCATGCATACCTGCATGAATACATTAATAACGGCGTGAAAGCATCAATAACAGCTTGAATGGGTGCATGAATAACATCATGAATACCTGCATGGATATAAGCATGAATGAATTAAAAATGAATGCATAAATAACAGCGTGAATGACATCGTGAATCACGTCATAAATAAATGAATGAATGCATTAATAACGCGTAAATGAATTATTAACGGCGTGAATGGGTGCATGAATTACAGCATGAATAGCATGAATGCATGCACATGCTCTGCAAGCTCGCAGCCTTGGCATTCAGCGGCGCGCAGCTTCCGTCTCACTGTAGGGGGGCGGCGCCCCTCTCACATTCACTCATTCATGGTGCGTTACAGTGACATATTCCTGGTATTTCATGATGAGTAACGGGGAATTGGTGCGTTACAGTGACATATTCCTGGTATTTCATGATGAGTAACGAGGAATTGGTACGTTACAGTGACACATTCCTGGTATTTCATGATGAGTAACGGGGAATTGGTACGTTACAGTGACATGGGAATTGGTACGTTACAGTGGTATTCCTGGTATTTCATGATGAGTAACGGGGAATTGGTACGTTATATCTAGTCTACACTCAGAAAAAGGAATTGGTCCCACTGTCGAAATAGTGAGAGTGCTGCCACAGCATGAGAGGTGAGCGGACAAAGCTCTGATATACGTTTTTCTTTCCGGGCCAAAATGGGTCAAGGTGACTCACCCAAGGCAAAAAGTGCATCGCTATTGGACAAAGTCTCACTCGTTTATTTGAGTGGAGAGATTCCTATTAAAAAAATTATTTCTTTACATGCATAATTAATAATCATTGAGTAACGGTGCAGCTATCGCCGCTAAACCCGATGACCTTTGCACCGATTATGTTATAAACTTATCTTTCTTTAAATAACTAATTCATGCAGCGTAATTGTTTTCTATTTTCCTTATGTTACAGCTGTATTGCTTCGTTATAGCTACTCCCTCCTTCCATTATACGCTGGACCATTTACCTTATGTTACAGGTATATTTCTTCGTTATAGCTACTCCCTCCTTCCATTATACGCTGGACCATTTACCTTATGTTACAGGTATATTTCTTCGTTATAGCTGCTCCTTCCTTCCATTATACGCTGGAACTACAGCAGTTGACGCTAGAACATTTAAGAATTGAACACTGACATGTTGAAGAACCAGACACTGAATTGCAAAATGAGATCCCGTAATACTGAAGAATTTATAAATGGAATTAGAGAATTAGACGCTGTAGTATTAAATAATCAGTCAGTATAATCAAAGCGTTAGACCCGATAATTTTATAGAGTTGTCACTAGAATTGAAGCAATAGACTTGGTAATTTTAAATAGTTATTAGTCACTGGAATTCAAGAATGAATTCCAGTGAAACTTATAAAATCAAAGCATAATGGTCACTGGAATTGGATAATTATATTCTGTAATATTAAAGAATAAGACACTTTAATTGAAGAATGAGATCATTTTTCATCGGCTGGAAATTTTGGCGCTAAGGGAGCCTGGGCGACGGCCGCTGTTCTGTGTTTATAATCTGAAGGCCGTTAGGGCTTCACGTTAGTTGAGTTCCGGGCGTCGTGAGGTGTGTGTGTCGGTGTGTCTACCCCGCCTGATAATCTATGTGTACATGTGATTACTTTTAAAAATATATTGAAAAGGATTTAAAGTCTAATATACCGTGTTGATTATAATTCAGTTTGAGTTCTCATCTTTGTGCTCTGTTTAGTGTCTAGTGAGTGCTGCCATAATTCAAGTCAATTTTATTTCATTTGTTTCAGAATTTCGTAGTGTTAAAGTAAGTCAAGTGCAGCGTAGTGTACCGCATCCCGAGTTTCACTTTCGGCGAGACGTGACTCGACAAGTTACCAACGAAATCGAAAGTTAGACCGCAATGGCGTCTGCCTCGTGCCGTTTTCTTTGTTTGTGTCGATGTTTATTGTTGTTTTCTAGCTTTATTTTATCTAGTGTTGGACAAGTGCCGCTACCGCCTTTATCCAGCAATCCATCCCTACAAAATAGTCATGTTTTCTCCGCCAATCGCCACGGCGTCGCGCTGCCACCCGCCACAAGCCACAGTTCCTCTGGTGTTGGGGTGCCCTTAACTGCCACATCCCCACAGGGATCACGAGTTGGGGTTGCATTTACCCCGGGGGGTTCACGTGCAGGTGTTCCTCTCCCCCCTGCTCCTAACCAAGGGGGATTTAAATCCTCAGGAGGGATTTTCGGTCCCGTAGGTAAAGGGATCTTAGAAACCCGTCCACAAAACAGCCTGGGGATCGGATTTAGAACCCCCGAAGGGAACCCCTTCACCTTCAACGAGCTCCCCTCCTCCATAGAACTGGACAAGAACCTGTCCCCCGTCCCCCCATACTTCGTGTTCTCTGACGACGACGCCCCTCGCCGCACCCTGTCCATTGGGGGCCCTAAGACCGGGGGTCTGCTGCCCATCTCGAACCCCACCTCAGACCCCAAGCTGCTGAGGCTGCTCAGTGAGCCCGTGGTGAGGCAGAGGCTTGTGGCTGAGGCGGGGGCCAACAAGGCTCTTAAGATCAGCGCCATCTTGATGGCACATAAACAGGTGCGTGTAATACGTGCGTGTAGTGCGTGTTGTGCATGTAGTGCCTGCGTGTAGTGCGTGACTTGCCTGCGTGTAGTGCATGCGTATAGTGCGTGACTTGCCTGCCTGTAGTGTCTACGTGCAGTGCGTGTAGTGCCTGCGTGTACGTGTTGTGCGTGTAGTACCCGCGTGTAATGCCTGCATGTAGTGCCTGCGTATAGTGCGTGTAATGCCTGCGTGTAGTGCCTGCGTATAGTGCGTGTAGTGCGAGTAGTGCCTGCGTGTAGTGCCTACGTGTAGTGCGTGTAGTGCCTGCGTGTAGTGCCTACGTGTAGTGCGTGTAGTGCCTACGTGCAGTGCGTGTAGTGCCTGCGTGTAGTGCCTACGTGCAGTGCGTGTAGTGCCTACGTGTAGTGCGTGTAGTGCCTGCGTGTAGTGCCTACGTGCAGTGCGTGTAGTGCCTACGTG